AAATTAAGAACTACTGACACCATCCTACACATACTACCCACAGCCATAACACTCTGAACTCCTATCCCTGTACTTACTACCCACTGTCATACACACCACATACATTCCCTATTTAACATTACCTCATTCTGCACTATATACGTCATCTCAGGACACTAACCACACCCCTTTTAAGCCATGCCCAATTTTTAGCGCAATTTAAAACACACCCCTCCTCCTCCTCCTCCTCCTCTCTCTCTCCCTCCTCCTCCTCCTCTATCTCACTCCTCCTCCTCCTCCTCCTCCTCTCTTTTCTCACTCTCCTCCTCTCTTTCTCACTCCTCCCTCTCTCTCTTTCTCACTCCTCCTGTCTTCTCTCACTCCTCCTCCTCTCTTTCTCACTCCTCCTCTCTTTCTCCTCCCCTCTCCTCTCTCACTCCTCGTCGTCCTCTCTTTCTCACTCCTCCTCCCTCCTCTCTTTCTCACTCCTCCTCCTCCTCTCTCTCACTCCTCCTCCTCCTCTCTTTCACACTCCTCCTCCTCCTCTCTTTCTCACTCCTCCTCCTCCTCTCTTTCTACTCCTCCTCCTCCCTCTTTCTCACCCCTCCTCCTACCTCTCTCTTCTCACCCTCCTCCTCCTCTCTTTCTCATCCCTCCTCCTCCTCTCTCTCTCATCCCTCCTCCTCCTCTCTCTCTCACATCCCCTCCTCCTCTCTCTCTCTCATCTTCCCCCTCCTCCTCTCTCTCTCTCACCCCTCCTCCTCTCTCTCTCATCCCTCCTCCTCCTCTCTCTCTCACTCCCTCCTCCTCCTCTCTCTCTCACTCCCTCCTCCTCTCTCTCTCTCTCACCCCTCTCTCCTCCTCTCTCTCTCTCTCACTCCTCCTCTCCACCTCCTCCTCCTCTCTCTCTCTCTCTCTCTCTCTCTCTCTCTCTCTCACTCCTACTCCTCCTCCTCCTCCTCTTCTCTCTCACTCCTCCTCCTCTCTCGCTTATTATTTCAAATCAACTTCTGTGCTAACTATAACCGTTATCAGACTAAACAATTTAGCTGGAGATCTAGGACTAGTACAAGTTGGCTGAAGAATATGAAATTTTCTCATAGTTACCAATATGGACTCTATGGTGTCAGTGATGTCAGCTTTGACAGTCAGCTCACTTTAGGGTGTGTCTGTTTCCATCTGTTGTCCCTTGTCTCCTGTCTTGTCTTGTGATGTTTGTTTTTTTTAAAAAAAAATTATTATGAATCTCCCCCCCCCCCCCCCGTCTCTGTTCGTGTCCTACTTTTATCCCACATAAAACCTAGGTGGGCAAATCTTATCTCACCTAAAAGTCAGACTAGGTGCCATTTTCTTTACTAATTGATTTAAATTATCTGAAGGGGCCAGTATAGGATTAGGAATGATTTTGGGTTTCTCTGACAAGGGGCGGTAAAGACACAGAGGCTCAGAGTGTAGTAACCACCGTACTGAAAAACTTGCTAACAGTATAACAACCCAGAGGGGAGCTCATTCAACCATGGACTTATAGTGAGTGTTGTCTAGAGTCCGCAGTAGTAGGCCCAAACTGAAGACCGCGCTTGTCAAGGGGGGTGGAATGCGGCCTGGCAGGTCCAACCCAAAAGGGAGCTTGCTGAAGTACAGATGTAGGCCTTGTGCTATCCCTACTCCTCCACAACTTTCCTTACCACTACTGCTGTGCCTGACAGATGGGTATGCTCTCCCTACATTAGCCACTTTGCAAATGTTTGCCATAACCTTAGCGCAGGAACTTAAAAGTACTGTGTGTAACCCAAGATGGCCACCAGGGTCACCTGAATGCAGCGTAGCCAACTGGAAAGCTACTCCAAGAAACCCAGGAAATCATAGAGAAACCAAGTTGCACTAGACTTCCCCCTCCAGCTGCAGTAGCGTTCCAGATGAGTTCCACCTACTATGGAGAAAATAGACTACACCTGCCTACAAACTATTTTGCAAAGTTCTTCAAAAACAATAGTATTGAATTGTTGAAGAGATTGCTAGAGTAGTTTCTATTTTATGATGTACTGTCTCAAATGCAGAAAAAGAATTTAAATACATTTTCATTTTTTTTATCTAAAAAATATTTTTGCAGGTCATTTGTTAACCAAACCAATTGGATACATTGAATCCTGCTTTGCCGAAAAAAAAAATGGCACACCAAGGCAACCTTCTGTTTGCAGTTTGTCCCGTGGATGCTTAAAGATACGCAAGAGTGTTTTCAATAATCCTGAGCATTCTGTGATGGATCTACAACAATTTTCTCATGTGTGGTAAGCTTTTAGAATTGAAGTCATGTCTAGAAAAGGATTGACAGTGTTTGTGGAAATATTTGTGTAACATAATTAAAAGTTCAATAAGTATTCTACTCTTTAAATTGGTAGTAAACAGCAGGAAAGGGTGGGGGAGGAATAAAAGTCGCCTGCAATGTGATGTCATAATGTGCTAGTATGCATAGTTATAGTTACAAGGACCATAAAATAGAGGGAATTTTTATTTTTTGAAGAAAAGGTTGCAAACCTTTTGAGCTACATTATGTGGCTATTTCAAATGCATTTGGTTCTTACCAGAATTCCTTAAACAGAGAATATTAATTTATTTGGAAATCCACTATACAGAAAACTTCCAGAAACTGAAAATTAATAAAAGTATTGCTGAAAAAAAAAAGTCACACAAACAAGGCTCAACAAGCATTTTCTCAAATGGTTTAGACACTAACTTAGACTGCTAGCTATGGGGACACTCGTGCGGGCTTGACCTCCGCGCTGGCTCTGTGTGTCCATTGATACACACAGGGTGTCTTGGCCCCACCCCCTGCTGTCTCCTCACCAGCTTGATTTACAGAAGCAGGAGCCTTCTGTTTTTTACAACCACTTTAGCTTACTGAAGCACATTGCTTCCTGATCTGCACTGCATGTGTTGGATCACTAAAACTAAAGCAGCCAAAAGAGGCTTGAAAATATATGAAGTCATAGTAAACCTGATCCTTTGAAATTTATATGTAATAGCGGGTTGCCCTAAATAATTAGGTGAATTTCATATTGGCTGCCTCAGGAACACCCTCCTGCATTCCACTATTGAGCATTGAGGGCATCTGTCAGTGACATTGGCCAGTAGTGAGGTGCAGAGGAATGAAGTTGGCGTGGTCGTACTCAAGAGGGAGCTGGTTGAATCTGCAGACCAAAGTGCCCTAATATTTGCTGCACATTGTTTGGAAACTAATCTAATGTATTAGGATCCCGGAGCTGATTTACATTAAACAATACGTTACCATGCCTATTATGACTTCACGTTTGTGTATTTAACGCCAAAAGCCCAAATTCTGCATTAAAGCTGCCCATAGATGGATCGAAAGATGGATGGTTCAGCAGAGACCAGCCAAATGTCGATCCACATGTAGCCGACCCTGCTTGACAGAAGTCAATCCAGTGGTGTATTTATGTTTTGTGCTGTCCTAGGCAACACAAAAATCACCCCCCCCCCAGTGCACCCCCCCACTGTCTCTAGTGCACCAACGTTTGCTGGGCGGAACTTAGTGGTCGGCCACATCTTTCTGTGAAGGTGTCAGTTAGTGGTATGAGCAGCGAAAAGGTGTCGTTAGTGGTATGAGTGTTGAGAAGGTGTCGTTAGTGGTATGAGTGGAGAGAAGGTGTCGTTAGTGGTATGAGTGGAGAGAAGGTGTCGTTAGTGGTATGAGTGGAGAGAAGGTGTCGTTAGTGGTATGAGTGGAGAGAAGGTGTGTTAGTGTATGAGTGGAGAGAAGGTGTCATTAGTGGTATGAGTGGCGAGAAGGTGTCAGTTAATGGTATGAGCGGTGCCTAGGTGTCAGTCAGTGGTATGAGTCAGCCACCTGGCAGTATCTGGTCAGCCACCTGGCAGTATCTGGTCAGTCACCTGGCAGTATCTGGTCAGCCACCTGGCAGTCTCTGGTCTCAGTCTCAGTCTGGTCAGCCCTTCAGCTCTCTTCCCCCCCCCCCCCCAGTATACATGGTATACATAGCAGTAGGGTGAAGATCACTCACCCGGGCGGGGCGGAGACCGAGGGGGGGGGGGCATGTATTACCCTCGCAGCCGCATTTCCCTTCCCTCTTCCACCTTTGTGACAGAGATCCCTGTCTCCCCTGGACACTGCTGTCCTCCGGGATCATCTCTCAGACCTGGCTCCCCACCGCCATCCACTGAGAAGAGCTCCGACCCTCAGAGCAGCCTATAGCCTGTCGGGGCGCACTGGATGCTGGGAGTTGTAGTCCTTCCCCCTGCACAGCCTGCCGGGATTGTAGTTTGGGGTGGCATGCACCTTTGCAGTGGATGGTGGTGGTGAGCCAGGGCTGAGAGATGGTCCCGGATGACGGCAGTGTCCAGGTGAGGCATGATACTCCCACTCCTCACTGTATTCAGTGGTGTACTCATGTTTTGTGCTGCCCTAGGCAACACAAAAATCGCCGTGCACCCCCACTGTCTCTAGTGCACCGTTTGCTGGGCGGAACTTAGTGGTCGGCCACATCTTTCTGTGAAGGTGTCCTTTAGTGGTATGAGCAGCGAGAAGATGTCGTTAGTGGTATGAGCGGAGAGAAGGTGTCGTTAGTGGTGAGCGGAGAGAAGGTGTGTTAGTGGTATGGCGGAGAGAAGGTGTCGTTAGTGGTGTGAGTGAGTGGCGAGAAGGTGTGTTAGTGGCGTGAGTGGCGAGAAGGTGTCAGTGGCATGAGCGGCAAGAAGGTGTAAGTTAGTGGCATGAGCAGCGACAAGGTGTCAGTTAGTGGTATGAGCGGTGTGAAGGTGTCAGTTAATGGTATGAGCGGTGCCTAGGTGTCAGTTAGTGGTAGTTGAGTCAGTCACCTGGCAGTCTCTGGTCAGTCACCTGGCAGTCTCTGGTCAGTCACCTGGCAGTCTCTGGTCAGTCACCTGGCAGTCTCTGGTCAGTCACCTGGCAGTCTCTAGTCAGCCTGGCAGCCCCCCCCCCAGTATACATGGTATACACAGCAGTAGGATGGAGATCACTCACCAGGTGGGGCGGGGCGGAGACCAGGGGAAGGGGGGGCATGTATTGCCCTCGCAGCCGCATTTCCCTTCCCTCTTCCACCTCTGTGACAGAGATCCCTGGACACTGCCATCCTCCGGGATCATCTCTCAGATCTGGCTCCCCACCGCCATCCACTGAGGAGAGCTCCGACCTTCAGAGCAGCCTATAGCCTGGCCGGGCGCACTGGATGCTGGCACTACAACTCCCAGCATGCAGTGCGCCTGGCCAGGCTATAGGCTGCTCTGAGGGTCGGAGCTCCCGGACCTCTCTTCAGTGGATAGTGGTGGGGAGCCAGGGCTGAGAGATGATCCCGGATGATGGCAGTGTCCAGGGGAGGCATGATACTCCCACTCCTCACTGTATTCCTCTGCTGTAGTGACATCAAAGACGTCCCTTCTTCCGAGGCGCAGCACCGCCCCCCTGTAAAGTGCCATCCTAGGCAAGTGCCTTGTTTGCCTCGCGGCAAATACGCCCATGAGTCAATCCTTACATCGACTTCTGCAGAATGGGAATGTTGTACATTTTTTGTTGGCTGCAGCCACTGATCATTATATTCTGACAGTGGAGAGTCCATCTATGGGCCCACTTTAGTGTGGAAGGGTGATAACGTCTGTCAAGTTTTTGCTGCTGTCTCTGCTGGGTAGACTCATTCTCTCTGTTTGACCGTGGAACAGAATGTGATGGAAAATCCAGAACTTTACAGTTGTTAAGGTAACAAAAGGTGAGAGGAAATCTCCCAGTGGGAACATCTGTTTTGTTCATTTGTAGAAATGTTCTCCAAATTCCAGTTGTGTCTTCAGGACAGAAAGTGAAGGGAAATCTACCCAACACAGACAGCAAAAAAAAAAACAAAAAAAAAAACTCCATTTATCCATAACTAAACAAAAAGTTTTGGCTATAGTGACATTTCATTTTAGTTTCTGCAGTGTCCGGATTGTGTGAAGAATGTCTGTGGAGCTTTGTTGGTAAGTATACTGTGTAGCAAAGAGGGAGTATTGAGAGTCTGCTGTTGTCTCAGGCTAGGTTCACATTTGTGCATTGCCAGAAGTCATGCAAAATCAGGCTAGGTTCACATTTGTGCGTTGCAGGAACTTACATGTTCCTGCAACATACAGAAAATGCATATCCCTTTTGCAGGCACATGGAGTGGCCATTAATTCTAAATGGCAGTCAGATGTGCCTTGCTAACACGCAATCCAAAATGGGTGATAACACAGTACCATACGTTTTGGTGTGGTGCAATTTAAAAAAAAAGTCATGCACAAGGGTGGACTGACCATTTGGAAACTTGGGCACTGCCCGAGGGCCCGGGGTCAGTAGGGGGCTCCATGAGATGCCCCTGGTACCTCTTTCATAGGCTTTTTTTGAGTTTGGCATGGGCACAGGGGCTCCATGATCCCCTATTGCCCAGGGGCCCTGGGTTGTCAGTCCATCCCTGGTCATGCACTTCCTTTGTGCAATTTTCATGCTTAGAAATGAATGGGCTGCCCTATACCCATGCAAAAAATTGTGTAAAAATGCACAAGCACCTGCACAGGTGTTAATGAAGCCTCAGTGTTCACTCTGCTAGCCATGATACAAAAATAATGGAGTATTTACATTGTAAAGTGGAAGGAGATAAAATATACCAAACTTTGATTTATTTCTGATTTTCCATATGCTACCCTATATTTATGCTTCATATTACCATTTCATTTGCAGGATTTTATTTATTTTCCACAAAAATGGACGTTTTTAAGTTGCAAAGCAAAAGTTCAACCACCAAGACTAAATGGAGCAAAAACTGGGGTGTTCTCCACAAGAAGTCCTCATAGACCCAATGCAATTGGACTGACTCTTGCCAAACTAGATAAAGTAGAAGGTAATGTACATGTAGGTAAATAGGCAGCATATTGGCATACTAGTCCTTTGCATTCACTCAAAGTTGCATGCATTCTTTGTATTAAGGTAAAAAATGTCCCAGTATTTGTATCACCTTCTCACCCCCCGTTTACTTGCCTGATTCCTCACATGATCTGATGCTGTACACATCTTTTTTTATTTTTTTTTTATTTTTTTATATTATATCTTGTTTATTAAGTTTTACATTACAAAAACACAACACTATACCATTTTCATCCAACATACAAACATTTCACCTAAAAATTTCCCATCCCAGCCTCCCCTCTCTTCTCCCCCCCCCCCTCTCCCAACCCCCCTCACAACCCACCCCAGTCCATATAATTCTTCCCATCTCTTTCCAACAATCCAGCTCCTGTCTATAACTTTTCTCCTCAATCCTCTCTTCCTACTCTTCCTTTTCTTACTATTCTTTATTTCCCTCCAACCTTTTTTTTTTTTTTGTTTTTTTTCCTATTTATGCTACGGTCTTGCATAACGTTCCCTTTGTTTCCCCTACCATGGATCATATCCCTGGGCCTCCCACTACTTCCATATATTTTCCTGATGCCTTGAAGTCAAACCATCTTCCCCATTCTTTTCTACTGTAAATTTTGTCTATATGGTATAACTCCTCCATCTTGTTTATATATTCAACCCTGTCTAACCGGTCCCACATTGTTGGAGGCTCCTGTGTCTGCCAGGAATTTGGGAATAAGCCCTTTAGCCTTGCCGATTAGATGGTATAATACACTATTTTTATAATGCTTCACCGGTACATCTGATCTATAAAATAAACACACCCACGTATTCTTCTGTATAGTTGTCCCCAGTTTCTCTTGTATAAATTGGATTATATCTTGCCAAAACCCCTGTATTTTTGGACAGTCCCACCATATACCGTATTTTTTGCTCCAGAAGACGCACCTAGGTTTTAGAGGAGGAAAACAAGAAAAAAAATATTCTGAACCAATGATCTGCAGACGTAGTACAGGAAATGGCCAGAGACTGCGGACACAGTACAGGAAATGGCCAGAGACTGCGGACACAGTACAGGAAATGGCCAGAGACTGCGGACACAGTACAGGAAATGGCCAGAGAGACTGCGGACACAGTACAGGAAATGGCCAGAGACTGCGGACACAGTACAGGAAATGGCCAGAGACAGGAAATGCTGCGGACACTGTACAGGAGATGACCAGACATTGCGGACACAGTACAGGAGATGACCAGAGACTGCGGGCAGATACGATACTGCGGGCACGATACAGGGGATGACCAGAGACTGCGGGCACGATACAGGGGATGACCAGAGACTGCGGACACGGTACAGGGGATGACCAGAGACTGCGGACACGGTACAGGGGATGACCAGAGACTGCGGACACGGTACAGGGGATGACCAGAGACTGCGGGCACGGTACAGGGGATGACCAGAGACTGCGGGCACGGTACAGGGGATGACCAGAGACTGCGGGCACGGTACAGGGGATGACCAGAGACTGCGGGCACGGTACAGGGGATTACCAGAGACTGCAGACCTTTGGGGAGGGAGAGGGAAGCGGGTACCCGAATTTGACAGGTACCTGCTCCCACTTCCGTGGAGTTGTCCTCCCTCCCTGTCTTCTGGGACACGTGAAAGGTCCCAGAAGACTGTCGGACCATTCGCAAAATGCAGTGCTTCTCGCGCATGCGCAGTGGACACCCGGCTGTCACAGCCGGGTGCCCACACTAAAGATGCCAGAGCCGGGAGAGAAAACTGTACAGAGTTGGACTGAGGAACAGGTAAGGCTCTGCTGCAGAGAAGAGCCAAGCGGCTGGCCCGGTATTCTGACGCGGTGGGAATACCGGACCGGCCGCTCCATATTCGCTCCATAAGACGACACAGCCATTTTCCCCCATTCTTTAGGGGTAAAAAAGTGCGTCTTATGGAGCGAAAAATATGGTATGTGCCATTGTTCTCTTGGCTCCACATCCCCTCCAACAGAGCGGTGAGACTTCTACTCGTTGTCTGTGCAACACTCGGTCAAATACTATCTCGTTACACATTTATAATTCAATTCAACCGTGTTCATGTTTTATCACCCCATGTGTTAATGTAAACATTTTATTATCATTTCTGTAAGGACAGTGGAGGACCTGCCCCCTTCAATTCAGTAAGAATCTTATATATCCCAGAAGTGACATGTTTTGGAGCCGTACTAGAACTTAACATCTTTTCAAACAGGAGCATGTACTCCGCTATCCTCAGGAGTTGAGGCAACTTCGAAGCAAAATGTCTTAATTGATAATATCTCAATCAAATGCCACAAATACCTCGTTTTTACTCTTTAAGAAAAGTGCACAACTTCCCCTTAACTACTATATCCCCCAACTGTGCATCTACATCTTTAAACCATTTCCCCAAAATATTATCCTTCCCCGGTGGGAAAAACTCAGTACCCACCAGGAGAATCAACAGTGAATTATATTTCCAATCCATTTGTTTGTGCATTCCATCCATACTCTTAACACCTCCTGTGTCAGTGTACTACTAGTCTCATCCATAATACAAAACTTTCATGGTATCCAAATAATCCTCTCCTCTAATCGTGTGTTACTTAAAATGCCTTCTATTTTAACCCAACTCTTCCCTAATGAATTCTATGTCCAGTCTACAATTTGTGACAGTATCTCCACAGTAAAATAATTCTTAATATTGGGCAAATTTAATCCTCCTTTTTCTTTATTACACAGAAGTTCATGTCTAATTCTCGGTTTCGTATTAGCCCATATATATTTAAGTATTAATTTTTTTATTATCGCAAAGAAGGATCTTGGGATATGGACTGGGAGCATATGGAATTTATATAAGATTTTTGGGGACTATCACCATCTTAACCAAATTTATACGCCCAATGCAAGAGACCCTTCCCTTTGGGAGTCTTCTCAGCTCCTACCTTAATTTCATTTATTAATGGAATATAATTTACTCTGTATATTTTTTTTATAGAAGGGGTCAACTTTACTCCTAGGTAACCTAATTCCTTCTCACTCCATGAAAATGGGAAGTCTTTTTGTAGAGTCTGTATCTCTTTCTTTGAAACATTAATATTCAAGATCTCTGATTTTTATGGGGTTTATTTTCAAGTTTGAAAGCTCTCCATACACTTTTAGTAATCCCATTAGGTTAGGTAACAAATAACGGGGATAAGGGGCATCCATGTCTTGTACCGTTGTACATCTTAAAAAACACAGAGAGAAACCCATTTACCTTAACCGTCGCTGTCGTTACTAAGAACCCCTTGGCCTGTATATTGCCCTGGAATCTGACGTGGGATTTCTCCACTGGTAATTCCTGATTTGGGGTAACACTCTAAACATGGATGCCTGCTCCTACCCCCAGCTCTTCACATGGGGTTCTGTGTTTAATATCCTAATTGGCCTCTACCTATCTTCCCCGAAGACCTGATGGGAACACAGGGGGGATGGGGAGGTGGAAAAAGGAAAAGAGGAAGGAGGGAGACAACAATTCAACCCCCTATCCTTCTCCCACTGACCACCACCCCTCCCCCCATTTCAGTCTATCTTCACTTTTTATTCACTAGCTGCTACTTATCTTTTTTTGACCTTACACTTTCACATTCATTTAACTCATCTGACCACCCCATAATTCCCACATTCTGCAGTTCTACTTTTTCACAAAAGTCACTAAGTTCTTTTGGAAATCTTAGCCTTGCTGATTTCCTGTCTTTCCACCCGATCAGACATTGCGGGAATCCCCAATTATATCGAATTCTTTTTCCCTCATCTGTTCCAATAAGGGTTTTAGTAGTCTTCTTCTAGATAATGTCTCCGAGGCAGTGTCTGCAAAGACTTGTATTTTCGCTTCTCCAAATTTTATCTCTGGGGTCTCCCACAATTTTTTCCATATTCTTTCTCTGTCCTCATAATCATGGAATCAAACAATCACGTCCCTAGGGGTGTCTGATGTTACCCCTGGTGGGCGTCTTAATCTATGTGTTCTCTCAATCTTCAGAGGATCTGCGGCTAGTCTACCTGTCAATGGGTTAAACACCTTCTTTATTTTTTCCTGGAGGCCCTCTTCATGTGAATCTTCTGGGAGGCCCCTAATCCTTAGATTATTTCTTCTATTTTCTTGGTCCTCCAGTTTAAGTGACCGCTTCCTCTGTTCACTTCGCATCTCCTCCAACTGCGTTTCGAGGTTACATATCTGCTGAGCCTGTGTCTCCATTTTCTCCTCCACTTCTTCCATCCTTGTTAACATTCATTCAAGATCCTTATGAATCACTGCCATTTAATTTTTCATAGAAAGTTAGTTTTGCAAACATTTCTGCCAACTCTGTTTTTGTGGGGATTTGTGATATTACTCCCTGTTGTTCTGAGACATTTTGTTCATTTACACTGTCATTATTTATAGATTAATTAATCTGATTCTCTTCCTATACTCCAAATGACAATCTAGACTTCTCCCCATCATACTTTTTACTTTTTTTCCTGTTGTTTCTCCAGACATTGCATCTCTGGGCTTTTTTCCTGTAATGGCAAGTATTTCTTGATTGTGCTAGAATTGTGTTGGATTGCGGGGTTTTTCCACCCCCACCTTTTAGTGGATCTGTTCTTCATATTAGCTAGGCTTAGTCGCAGATTTTCTACTCAATGTTCAAAATACAATATTCGCACACCTATGGAAGACTCGTCCTCCTTGTTCTTGTCTACAATGACTTTTACAGTTCCAAATAGCATTTATAGCACAAACGTTATTAGCCGCACAACTTGACCCCTGAGATACCCCGGCTCCTTGATCTTCTAACCGCCTAGCCCCACAGCTCAGGTATACAATTACTTACAACAGAAGAAAATAGCGACTTGAATCTCCTGCCGTTGCCCACGACAACTCACCATCACCCTTCGAGCCTGGGGTTCTGGATCCGTCTGTCTCTATGCACTCTTCTATCCCAGTCGGGATCTTCTTCTCCAGTT